GATGTAGCAGCACTCCCTTGCGAGTCAGGCTATTTGTCAGTCGATGTAGCAGCACTCCATTGCGAGTCAGGCTATTTGTCAGTCGATGTAGCAGCACTCCGTTGCGAGTCAGGCTATAAGATAGTTGATGTAGCAACATTTACGCATGTTTTAAAAATGTTTTTTAATAAAACAAAAACAAAAACACTACAAATTAAAAAAAACTTTCTAGTCGTTATTATTGCGGTTTTTTAAAAATTTTTTAAAAAACAATAAAATTTAATGTACTTCTGCATTAATTTAATTGCTTTGACATTTCAACGACAATCAAATACAGCTTAAGAGACGAGGTAATTAAAATTGTAGTCGTAAGAGACTTTTTTTTACATTAAACGACTCTTTCGACTACACTATAAGGATATATATATATATATTATATATTATATACATATATATATATATTATATATACATATATTATATATATATTATATATACATATATTATAAATATATTATATATACATGTATATAATATATATATATATATATATATATATATATATATATATAATTTATATATATATATATATAAATTATATATATATATATATATATATATATATATTATATACATATATATATATTATATATATATTATATATACATATATATATATATACATATATATACACTGACCACAGAAATTATATTTAGTTGCGAAAAACTGGTCATGTTTTTTAGTTGTTTTGAGAATATTTAAGTTTATGTACGAAACAAAAAATTTTTGTTTCGTACATAAACTTAAATGTTCTCAAAACATCTTGGTGTGGAAGAATAAAAAGAATATTAAAAACCTTCCAAATTAACGAATGAACTAATTCTATTGGTTCAAAAAATACGCCAACTAAGCGAAATAAAGTTTTAGAGTATTCTGTTGAAATATTGTAGATATTGTATTATTCACGATTTGTTACATTTTGAAATTTCATAGATTGTTTTAAGAACATATTATCAATTCTATGACTCATTCTCGGAGCCACATCTGCAAAGCCGTAAATCTTATAAACTATTATTATTTGTTTACAAAAATGTTTTAAATATATATTATTTAAATTGTTAAAATTTCAAAAGTTTATTATAAAGTATAGATTTTATTAGTATATACTTATTTTTTATTTAAAGAGTATGTAAATGTAATTTTGTGCATCTTTTTTTTATCGATTTAATTTGTAAACAAAGACTTACAAAAATAATTGCATTTTCGATGAAGTTATTAACAATCATTAAAGTTAATAAAACTAATTATGTAACAAATATTTAAGAAGTTTCTGGTTACTAAACACAAACTATGCATACAAGGTACAAGCCTTCCAAGAAAAGGCGTGCGGTTTTCTTGCACGTACGACCACAAAAACGTTTTTCAAGTTAGAGAACGTGACCACGTCCGTTTGCGCAAGTTATATTATATGCGTTACTGAAAAATTGTTTTAAATTTAATAACTGCATAAGAAATTAAAGTAAACTTAAATAGAAAATAATAATAATAGTTTAAATAATTTGTTTGTTGTTTTTATTTTTGTTTTTTCTTAGTGGTTATTATTATCGGCAACAAAATTATTTGTCAAAGCAAAAAAAAAAAGGTTTAAGGCATTAAAAAGGATTGACTTTCCCATATTTTATGTGTTTTTTCTTTAAAAGAGAAAAGAGAAAATATGTATCATCATCAATTTCAGGAACTTTCACAGATCACTTAAACAACGTTATAAAAAAGTACTTTACAAAAAGTATAGCATTATTAAAAAAGTTACGCAAAAACGCTCGTTAATTTTAAAATCAACCAATAAAAATTTTTTATTGGTTAATTTTAAAATTAACGCGCGTTTTTACCGTCTATTAGTAACGTTTTTCATAATGCTAAACTTTTAATATGACAGGTTTTCATAAACTTGTCTGTCACGATTTTATAAGTTACTTTAGTTTTAATATTATTTGAACATCCACTTTATTCTTCTAGATATTTTTCTACTTCAATTAAAATTTGGGAATACTGATGTTGCTTGAACAAAGAATGGATTTTAAAAGTTATAAGTGCGTTATAAAAGTAAAAACACTATTATAGTGTTATTACTTTTGTAATGCAGTTAGTGACTAGAATGTTCTTACTATTGTAATGGTAAGTTTATTGTTTTATTTTTTCGCTAACAAAATTAAGTTGATTCTCCCCTTATAAACAAGGAACATGGTTTTGTATAAACTAAAATTTTTAATGCTAGATATTTTTCCAGATTTTGTGTTTTGCATTCGCTTAATTCAATCCTTGTTGCTACATTAAAATTATAAAAATAAATTTTACAAACACGTTGCAATTTTTATTTTTACTACCCTCTTAAAAAAATTAAGAAAAGGAAAATCATTCTTTTTATTGTAGACTTCAAATTGTTTTTTTTTTTGCTTCGCCTTATCTAATTTTGTTGCTGAATGTAACTCTAAAGAAACAAAAATAAAAACAGTACGCAAATTATTTAAATTATTAATTTGTTTTTATTTTTTTCTATTTTAATCTCCTTTTATTTTGTTAGTTTTGTTTTTGAAACTTTTTCAGCGTTATTATAAAACTTGCAAACGGCCGTGTTCACGTTTTCTAAAATAATCTAATCGCGTGTGGTCATACGAAACAAAAAACCGCACGCCTTTCCTGGGAAGGCTTGTGGTATGCATAGTTTGTGAAATTATTGTTATATTTTTAATGGCAACCAAAATTTTTCCTTAATTTTATATTTACTCTTTTTTTTTTTTTTCTTTTTCTTTTGATTTATTTGTTGTATAATTAGCTGACACTTAATAATACAATACTTATTGATACCAATGCCATTTACCCCTCCTGACTGATGATATTACTCCTCCTGAATGATGATATAATTATATGCATCTATTATTTTTGTAAACCACCTGGACCTTACTATTAAGTAATTTTCAAGTTTTAAATAAAATAATTAAATAAGATATTTGAAATAAAAACAACATATTGAACATTTTATTTAAATTCTTAATAAAATAAATCATGTCTTTTTACTTAATAAACGAAAAATATTTAATTGTAATTTAAAAAAACTCTTATTTTTTTGGCAAGTGCTTCTTCATGCGCTTGCTAAAGTTTGCAGATGTAGTAGCTTTATAAGAAAGAAGTTCAGACTTCGATCCCCACCAAGTATGAGTATGGGGTACTGGTGTAGTGGACGAGTGCTTGCTTTATAAGCGAGAGTTGTAAGTTCGATCCCTGCCTATTCTGGTCAGTACCCTGTTTAACTTCTTTATCCACACAGCAGCCTTGTTTGTCAAGGTTTGTATTTCATAGTTTAGAAGTTGAGAGAGGTTTGCAACCACCAGCTCATATATTATAGGTATATCTCAAATTAGTTTGTGTTTCAAATAAAATAAATTATGTACTTTTAAAACAAAAAAAAATACTGTTAAGTTAAAAGTATTTTATTATACGAAATTTATAAATAGAATTTTTGTTCAAATAAAACAAAAATTTCTTTTCAACTTAGGTTATACAGACTAATGCTGTGTATTAGATTTTTATAAGTTATAATAAATACACAATATTTAGTAGCATGCTGGCCCCAAAAGCTATGCATGAATCCCGCATAGGCCTTAAGCTTTTTATCTTACAAAGGCTTTTTGAAAAAAGTTTATTTAAAAAAAAATTATTTTATTATATTTTTTAAATGATTAGCAAATAATTTTTTATTCACTTTATTTATGCTTTCACGATTTAATTTTTTTAAATATCTGATTTAAACTTTATGCGTTATGCATTTTGTGTAATTATTTTTGGGCTCAAAAATAATAACACAAAATAACTCGCGGATGAACAAGCACCTGAGGTCACAATAGAACACAAATATATACATAGCAAGTTATTAGATACAAAGAAAAGTTTCTAGATATTGGTATACTAAATCTAATTATTTTCGCTTAATTTGACATTCTTAAAAACTCGTTATACTTTTTTCTGCTTAAAATACTAATTAAAACTAAAAAGCCCACTCACTAAACATCATCAGTGATATTGTGAAGCAGTTTCGCTTCTTCTTCATAAAGGATTTTTAACTATTTTAGTTGATTTCTATCTAGTTAATTTAATTTCTATAGTAATTCAATGATTTAATTATTTCATTTGTTTATCTTACTTAGAAGAATTGTTTTAAATATGTTAAACTTTTCAAACTACCCGAAACATAGAATAGGTATTAAAAAAATTAACTTTTTTATTTATAAAATAATTTAGCTTAGATAAAACTAAAACTTGCAAACTTTGATAAATAAAGAACATTTGTTTCCTTTTAAACAAACGTAAGATGTTACTTTATATATAAAACGTTGCTTAATTTTATAGAAAAATTATAAAAGAGCGATGTTTTGAAAATATTTGTTCTAAACATAATCTATTTTGCTTTAAGTTTTTTCGCGTAAAAGATATTTTATTTTCCTAATTTTTTTTCTAATTGTCTCTTATCGGTCCAATTAATCTTAAGCGCATTTTTTTTTACTTTTTGAAATGTTCTCAAAAGACTAAAAAAGCTGGCTAGCTTTTCGCAACTAAATATTATTTCCGTGGTCAGCAATCCAGAGCGATCGCTCCCACTTCCCGACCAAGCATGTATACATGTAAAGGTTATGTTAAAAAGTCAACAGTTAGTTGGCTTTTTAACATAACCTTTTTTTTTATAAGTTACAAAAAGTTTTAAAAAAATTCAGAAAATCTAGGAAAAAATTTAAACTAAACAACTAAAATTTTTTTTTTTTTTGGAAAAGTTTTAGTGTCCTAAAGTCCCTACAAAACTCATAAAACTTGTTGGTAATTAAGAAATTTATGTTATTATTGATTATGAAATGTTGGTTATTAAGAAATGGTTGTTAAGAAATGTTATTTCTTAACAAATAACTTTGCAAGTTTTTAAGAAATCACGTTATCTATATCTATAAAAAATATAAACATAAAAAATTGACTAACTTGTTTTCATTTGCATTCTGTATCACAGCTAATTCACCTCCTATGGCTTGACAGCTTTCAGATGCATCAGACCAACTTTTAATTTGAGGAAAGTATTGAACACATTTTGCCTGCGTCCCAGGGACATAAATCCATTCTTTTGGACATATGTCTAAAAACAAAAATACTGTTAACACAGAACTTTGCATACATGCTGTACTTTATTATTTTAGCAAATTCTGTATTATAAAAAAATTAATATAATTCAGAATTATATTTAAAAACTTTTTAAAAAGATTTTATATTTTAAAAACAAATATAAGTCAAATATTCTTCCTACATGGCTGTTTCACTCAATATAAAAGCAAGCTCAATATCCCAAGTTTATCAAAAACAAAAGTATTTTTGCACAAAAGGTATAAAAATTCATTAACTTCAAAATAATAGCATTTTTTTAAAAACAATTTCATCTTCCAATAAAATAAATATATTAAAGATGAATCTTTTTTTTAAATAAATGTTTTACATTGCAAATCTTTAAATCTGTTTTGGGCCAACTAAGATTGTATAACATATCAAAATGTATGACTGTTGAAATTCAGAACAATGAATGTCTATTCTATCATATTCTTAAGTTACTTGGGTGTTTTTTAGAAAAAAAAATGTAGTTTTTATTACATTTTTATATTGAGTTTTATTACTTACAAATGTAAAACTTAAAATTTTTGATTAGTAACCTAATTTATTAAAATTTCAACCTTTTATGCATATGAAAGTAAAAAACTTATTTTCTATACCTCTAGCTATGCTATGCAATGTTTTTTTTAAACTTAGCATATTTAGTAACTAGTATTTTTATTTTTTGGTGTAAACTTTTGTTTATATTATAAAGCAATGACATAACTTCAAATGGGTTTACATTTCAAGAAAATATCTAATGAATTTTAAAAAACACTGAAACAAGAATTGTTTCAGTAAGACAAATTCTTAAGTATAAAATAAACAAAGTTTTATGGAACTTAAAGACATTTTTGTAATATAATTTTAAATTTTATGAAAACTGTGTTTTGCTACTAACTTAAATAATGCCTGTTTCAGTTAACGTTAGGTTTAAGTATAAAAAAATTTTAAGAATAATCTAACAATGTGTATATTTGATAATAAATATCTAAAATATATTTTTTCAAAAATTTTTTTGATAAAAAGTAAAAACAAATTACTAAAATTCAGCCAAGTTTATCATTTCCACGTTTATTTTAAAATTGAGGAAAGTTGTTATAGATTTATTAAATGTTATAAAATAAAATATTTTATTGGTGTTTATATTCTTGTCAAAAAACAAAATTATCTCTAAAATTTTAAAAGTTATAGCATCTTAAATTAAAAGTTTTAGTATCTTAAATATTTTTTAAAAATAACAAGAAGCTGTAAAAGTTTTAGCATCTTAAAAAAATATTTTTTAAAAATAACAAGAAGCTGTAAAGCTCACTTGAAACAGCCATGCATTCATAGATACTATTTTCCTAAAACCAAACCTGCAGTTAATGAATATTAAAGTCCCCAAAAATGTTACATTCGGTAAATTATATATTAGGTCTAGAAAACAGAAGTTTAGAAATTTTGTTCTCTACATGACTGATTTGCTTCAAATATTTAGCTTCTCTAAATATTTGAAGCAAATCAGAAAATATTTAGACAATAAAAACTTTTAAATTTGAAGTATATGGTCAAAATAGTAAATATTTCATTTGATGCCTTCATGTTTTCATAATTAAAATTCTATTTTCTTATGAATGATCATTGTGTCCTATTAATGATCATTTATCAGCAACCCTCGGAATTAGGAAAAATGAAGTCGGAAATAATTTGCTAACCTCAGTTTTTTTTGAGGTCGGCATCAGGTTGGCAAAAATTATTTGATACAAAGGTCTGACCATAAAACATAGAAAGATGGTCGGTAATTTTTTGTCGACCTCAAACACTTTCAGGTCGGCAATTAGGTCGGCATCGCCGACCTAACTGCTTGAAAAATAATCTGAAAAAATCTTTTGAATATTTGAAAAAATCTGCAACCCAATTTCCGAGGGTTGTATTAGAAAATATAATTTTAATAACCAGTATTGATTAACAATAATGAATAACCAATAAACAAATGATCATAAGCTAATAATAGTCTTATAATGATTAAAAATGTTTTTATTGTTATAATACAGATTTCACAAGTATGAAATATGTACGACATATATACGAAGTATGGTGTACAAAGTAAAAAAAAAGTTTATTCTAATTCATCAAAATCATCTTCTGCCATCATGGCTGACTTTGAAATAATCTGAAAAAATCTTTTGAATGTTTGAAAAAATCTGCAGATGTTGAATAAATACAGTTTAGGCCGCACCAACAATAATACAACCATGTTGGAGCTGGGATATCTTCTCTCTACATAGTTAGGGTTTATCTACTTTTAATGGTTGTCATGATGCTCAAAACATTCTTTGTCGCTGTAAAAAAAGTTTATCAGATTGTCTTTGAACATTTGCTTTTGAAATCTGCAGTTTTAATATGCTTTCCTCTTATTTATATTCTAATAATTTAGATAAAGCTTCTAGTTTCAGCTGCTATAATGTACTAAAGTACTTGTGAATATAAAAAATACTAAATAGTAAAATGCTATTTACAATCATACAACTGCATAAAATAACCGCAAGAAGAGTTTTGCTTTAGCCTATTATTGATTGAAATTGGGATTTTTTAGAATTTGGGGTGATTTGAGTCAATATAAGTTTAAGAGTAAGTCAATTTTAAGCCTCTGAAAGTTTTTCTCATAATTGCAAAAACGGTATCATTGTAAAATGTTATTCTAATCATGAATTTATTTGCATGATCGGAATTAAATTTGCCTGAAAATGGAGCTAACATGTTCAAATTTGTTGTTGGTCAGATTTTATACTTTATAATATATATATTTTAGGAAAATAAAGAAAGAATTTTTTCAATTTTCATGTAACATAAACATGATAAAGTTTTGTTTTTTCTAAAATTTAGTTTAAAAACTTTTTTAACTTAATTTTAATAGTATATGCGAAAGGATATTAAATGTGACGTTTTGGCATTTAAAGTTTTGAATAATGATGTTTAGTTAAAGCACATTTTTATTTTAAATTTGTGTAAAATAAGTTAAAACTACATGCATTTACTAAAGTTCTAGCGCTTTTTTATTAGCAAAATGAATTACATCATTAAGTAATTATTATTTCGTTGACAAAGTTTTAACTGAAACTTTTTGTATTAGGAGAATTTAGAAAAAAATCTTTTATTTTTTTTTAATTTTAATTAAAATTATTTTTATTATTGCTTTTTTATTTGTTTATGTATTCTTATTTTAATTGACAATAAACATAAATAAAAATAAGAATTATATAAATATTTGTATTTAGACATTAAAGAAAAGATTTATTTGTTATTCTCCTAATATAAAAAAAAACAGTTAGAATCTTTTTTGTTTTTGTTTTAGTAAACCAAACGTTTGTTAATGCAATTAAAGTGGGTTATCATAAAGCACCTCACCCTATATTTGAAAATTCTTAACCCCTTCCCTCCTCTCTTTTAAAAATATTTTAAAAGATTTAAATATAAATATTTTGCAGCATTTAAAAAATTCAACTTAATGAAAATAAGGCAATACGCATAAACGTAAGAAATGTAAGTAAAAATTTCAACAAATCAAAAATATTACTTATTTAAACGACTCAAATAAGTATTAATAAAGTTGTAATACTAAAATAATTTTTTAAAGATGCTCTTGGTCTTGCGTAAAAACTGTTTTCAATTTGATAACTTTAATAAATGTAATGAAAAATTACTCAAGAAGGGTGACACCATTTTTTAAAAATTTCTTTTATTAATTAATTTCAATGAATAAATTCAATACTTTTGCAATTCTTTTGTTACATAACTCTAACTCTTAATAATAGATATAAAAAATCCACGATAAATATCACTCGGTAAAGCAAGTGATGTAACGTAAGGTAAATATATAGTATCAAAAAAAGAAGTTTATTTTCCTTAGCCGGTCACATCCAACAAAATTTTATACATTTTTTAAATTGGCATAGATTTCTCAACATCTTGTGAAAGACCTGAAAAAGATCTGACCTGAAAATTAAAGCAATTTTTTTACCTTGTTTTTTTGTTTTTTTTTATTTTACTTTACCTCTTCAAGGCCGAGAAGGCCACTACAGACGAGGAGGCTACTTGTTTTATGGCTATAACCCTCTCTCAACTCTATAACTCTGAAACACGAACCTTGACGAAGGCCACTGCGCAGAGAAACGAGTTGAGCGCGGTACTACCAGGGACGTGGTGGGGATTGAACTCAGAACCACTCGTTTATTAAGAGAGCGCTCTACCACTACACTACTACCGCATGATATGTTTTCCGTGTAACGTAAATTAAGTGTCATTTTCAGTAATAAGTTTGCCTTCTTTTGGCCAGACTCAAAACTTTTTAGATTATTTTATTCTTTAGACTAACAGCTTTGATACAAAATTGCTAAAAGTTTAACTTACAATTAAATAGACAAGTATTTGATAAAGTTGTTGCACGTGTAATGTAAGTTAAAAATGGAACTGCTAAAATGGGTAATTCCATGTCAAATGTACCAGAATTTTTAAAAAAAGTCACCCTATATCTCAAATTTTACTGATTTTTATACAGTTGAGAGTACTTATTAAAACAAGAATTCCTTGAAAATTTTAGCCTCTGGCTCCAAAAAGATCCTGAAATATTTTTAGCAGATACTGGCCAGGCCCTCTTGTCCCCTTGTGATAGATGTTTCACTTCTATTCAGACAAACTGGAGCTCTGAAACTTTCAGCATGTGTAGTCCTGATCAATGTGTGTTAAAATTGTTTCCAGGGTAGATGACCAGAGGGTCCATAAGGCTGGGGCACTAGGAGTCATGCCTCACTTTTGTCAAAAATCTTTTTCTTTTTTTTGCATTTTTAATAAAGTAAAGAATTAAAACTTTGAAAATATTGTCTTCAAAAATTTTTTTTGTTTATGTTCTTTCCATTCGGTTTTTGATCATTCTGTATTCAACGATCTTCCTTAAGAAAGTACATATGTTTATAAGATTTTTGATTTGCAAGTATATGGATTAAAAAGAGTCAT